AATAACATCCTTGACATACTTGGCTAATTGACTTGTGTGCTCCGTTTTTGTCCTTACGACAATGTGACATCATCTGTGATCTGAACAGATGCACAGCAACATGGAATCTATTTCTTTAATAGATAGATTCAAGTGTATTAAAAAAGTGAAACTTAACTTGACTTGCATAAAGAGAAGATAGGTATCTGGGACTTGAATGCAGTAACTTCTTTTTTTTGCCAATTAGTTCTACCATGTGGGTTGTCATTAAGTAAAGGTTATGCAGCAACATTGTATCACTGACTCACCACAATGGCAGTAAAAATTTGTACTTGAGAGTTAATATATAATTTGAATCAGCTAAAAGATGTCACTGATTGAAATCCCATTGCAATTTTGCATTGTAGATTAAAAGCCTCTGAAACAGAGGAAAAGAACAAAGGCAAAGAACTTGAAGATACTCAGGTATTTATCCACTGCCTTGCGGATGTGGAAGGGTATCAAAGCAGCTTCAACAGCATTTTTTATGACAGTCCATCCAGTTCCCAAAAAGAATAGAGCACCCATAGCTGGAAAATCTTCACAAGCTAGCCATTGAGCCCCCATTTCTGGCACCCCTTAAAATTGAATAGGTTGGTGGGTGTAAAAATAGAGATGGTTAGTTGAGGTTACAGAATGCTTGAAAACAACTGCTCAGGATAGCTGTCAGAACTGGGAGATTCAGCCATGACATAGTTGCCATGTTCCATGTTACCTTGCATTTGTGAGAGTAACTGCTGACCAGAAGAGCCCACTTAGCTTCTGGTAGTTAACTCTGTTTAACACCCAAGTCACAAATGGAAGCTAGGTTCCTGAGGAGTCTGGTTCACAAGGCGCTCATTTACATGTACTGTACCCTTCACAAAAATGTCCAGGGCGGTATGTAACTTGCCATTTCTTATTGTTCTGTAGCTCCAACTTCAACAAGTTTCAGAACATGCCAATACGTCACTTCATCAAGTGCAGGAACTTGAGGTATCTATCAAACTCGTACATTGCTTTGATAGCAGGCTTTCACCTTTGAATTTGCAATTATTAAAGTAAATTATAGCCTGTTAGACAAAACACTGGTTGTGGTTCTCTGTTGTGACTTGTTTTAGAATCCTCATCAAATGTTATTGTTACTGGTTTCATTATCAGGAAAAGAACAGTGCTTTAACGTCGTCAATGCGGGAGTTATCCAACAATATAGGACAGCTTCAAGCTAGGGAACAGGAGCTTTTAACAAAACTAAAACTGAAGGTATTGCAACACATATAAAACTTGATATGAGACCAAATGCTCTCAATCAATTAACAAGGAAATATATGGCAACCAGAAGGGGAAATTTATATTTTTAAATCGCTTTTCTTACTTTAATATACATGTATTGTGACAATAAATTAAAATTAAAATTTTGATGCTTCTCTCTTTCATTGATCTAATGGTCGATATAAGTGCTTGAAATGCTTTTTTGTCTGAGACACTTCGTGTTATGTTAAAAATAGCACAGGGTTATCCCTTACGTTTTCTAGAACAATTTATAACTTTTTTTATTACATTGGAATTTGAGTATGTCTGAGACATGTACATGCTGATTTTCTTTTCACCCAGGATAATGACATAATGGAAGCAAATGTGAGCTTAGGAGAACTACAACAAAAGATAAAACGACTCGAAGGATTATGTCAGGTCAGTATTGGCAAAACAAATGCATTCGAGCTTCTCAAATGGCGATTGTAGAGGGAGGGAGGTAGTTATTTGGAGACATGGGTTTACTGAGACAACCAAGTTTTTTCTTTTTTTCAGAGGGCCTCAATTCTTTCAACTTGTCTTCTTGTTTTACTTCTTGTGCGAATTTGTAAGGGGCGACCTCTCGAAACCTTCGTAGACCAAATTTATAGATTAAGTGTCTGTGTGTCATGATATTTATAAATGATTCAGCTTAACTGTTGTCATTGAGATACGTTATTCGCGAATTAAACGATTACCGAACACCTAATTGTTACTTCTTTTTCTAGGAGCTAAGGAAAAATGAAAGCTCACTGAGGACAGAAAAAGACCAGTGGAGAGATCAAGCCACGGCTAACAAACATGAAGTAGAAAAACTACGAGGTTTGGAAGTGTGATTTTGGAAAATTCTTTTTTGGTTTGTTCTGCATAATTTTTCAAGGTCAACTTTTTATTCATCTATTTGTTTTTTTGCAGTCTTCTTTTAGTCCCATACTATGTTATTGATAGTTTTGTGTTAATGTTTGTGTTTTTTTTCCCAGTGGATATCAGTAAACAGTTTAGTGATGCAGACGAAGTTCAAGCTGAGCTGGCAAAGGTAAATTGTCGCGTGTCTGTTGTGTCGCCAAACACAGTTGCCTGTTTGGAATCTGAAAGCGGAGAACCGGAGAAATTTCATGATCTGGATATATCATAATTTTTTGATAATGTCTGTTGTTCCATCTTTGTTTTTCAGACCAAGCAAGAAATTTTAGTCTTGCAGAAGGAACTTTTCCTGGCAGGTAACAGAATATACAGATACAATGCAACCTCTTCTAATTCTGGTATCCTTTTAAGTCTTGCATGTAACGCCAATTTGTACTCAACTTTTTCTTAGGAGAAAGAGAGAAGAGGAAAGATCAACTGCTTGATTTACAAAAGTCAAAGCAAGAGAGAACGGACTCAGAGTTACAAAACCTACGACAGGTATGTTTATTTATTGCTTTTAAAAATTAAGATTGCAATAAAACCTTGTCGATTGATTGTAGCAAACAGGAAATCATAAATCACTACGTCCAGTCAAAAGAAAGGGAACTAGAGTAATTTTAAATGAGTGTCAGGAGTCATTCGGGATTTCCTCTTTTCTGTTATCCTTCGCCCTGTGATTGGTCTATGAAACCCGCAAAAAATACTCAACCAATTGGATTGGAATCTATAACCAATTGCGACTCAAGCTCTGTCGATTGCGTTTTCCCGGGAAGTTTGTTTTGTTTTGAAGCCTCTTTGCTCAAAGTGCGCTTTTCACAGAAATCGATAAGAAATCAAGGTAAAGCGCTGTGGGCCGAGTTTTTTAAAGCTGGGTTAAGATAACCCAGGGTTAGTGTGAAATTTGATCTAAGATGCGAAAGCTTTAAATGAAAATTCAGTACAATTATTTTTGTGTGCAAATTGATGATTGGATGTTGTCAGAAGAATAGGGACAATTATCGTAAAAAGGCTCTTGAATAGAGAAATAAATAAACTTGGATGAAAATTTAACCCTGATTTAGCGCTAACCGGCCATAGAACAACTTGGCTCAGAAGAATACGAGTGAATAAGTCGCAAATGGCTTAGCTCTGACTCTAATTGGCTGAAAGGGTGCGCGGATTTCCTACACCAATCATAGAGGTCAGAAAACGAAACGGAAACGGAAGTTGTCCCAGATTACTTTGTGCACTCATTTGTAAATTACACCGACAGGGCATTCAGTAAAGGAGTTACTATCAGAATTGAAACTCAGCATTAGAATAAAATGCATCTCAAGTGTTTGGTTTTCAGTTATAGTAGCGGGTAATGATTTGAAAGTCTGATTTACCTTGGCAGATTTGTGAGAGACAACAACGTGATATTTCTTACATGCAGCTTCAGTTACAAAGTTCTCACGATATGCTGTCCAAACATGTCACGGAACCTGAGTAAGTTGTAAACTGTTGAATAACAAACGTTTTTTTTGTTTTTTTTTTCAAAGAGGCAATGAATATGAATATATAGTTTATATCTGACCACTTGCAGCCCAGAGGCTGAATTACGGGTGCAGTGTAAGGTTGAGAACAGACGTCAGCATATCAGGCGCCTCTGGCAGCCGCTTCAGTCTATCGATCTCACCTTCCCACTCATCCCACCCCAGGGGAGGACATCCATCACACAGTAATCTCGTGTGTGGGAAATTAACGTCTCCTACCCCAACCCTGCAGGAGACGGGACCTCCATTTATTCGCCCCTATCCGAGAAGACTAGAATATCTAACCAATATCCAACCATGATGTTATAGAAAGGTAGAAAATTCTTCTCAATTATTTTAAGACCTTGAGTGTTGGTCCGGCCGGGGCTCGAACCCTCGACCTCCCGCACAACAGTCCAGCGCTCTATCCATTGAGCTAACCGGGACTATCAGAGTGTACTATCAAATACTTAATTTAGAAATTATGTTCAGAAAAAAAAGGTGAGCTTTTAAGTTATAATCGTGAAAGGAAAGCGAATTGTTGACGTGGTAATGTAAGAGAGTGAAAAGTCGCCTCGCTGTCAGCAATTCAGATGGCAGTAGCGACTAACTGGTTTCTGCAAGGCTAAGAATCAAGCCACATTGAAGCCTGAGGGTTACAAAAGCAACAAAATTAATAACAACAACAACAACAACAACAACTAAAAGAGTTCAGGCTTCAACGGGCCAGGACGTCATGCCTCCCGTATACGGACTTGGTGTTACTGCCAGCTAAGCTAGCTCCATGTCTTAATTGACCAGCTTTATCTCTTCGTTTGTAGTAAGATGTCAGAATTGGAGTCCAATCCCCCGGATGAAGAGAAGAAACCTCTAAACAGCTTTTACGATGCGACGAGTTTTAATCTCAATGGAGACTACTTTGACAATCAGGTAAGTATGGAAAGAAGTTTTATATATATATATATATATATATATATACATATATAAATCATTCCTTAATGATAAGAACAAATTTTATTTTTCCTAACTATCTACATTTATATATAACTGATTGACTTGTTAGCGACAAATTTCAGAAAAGTTCCTATTACGTAGCATTCTCCTTCCTGCCTTTACTTATCTAGTTTTGTACATTTTTTCTCCTAGGATCAAGCGTCCACCAGGTCAACGGACTTTGATGGTGAGTCAATCTCTCATCCGGTTGTTCGAAACAGGGTTAAAATGCTTGAAATGTTCTTTCCCTAACGAGAGAAGCAGATTGTAAGACCGGACATTTTTAGTAAGGGATATAAATTTTTAGCCTTACCGAACATTATATTATCTCATTCCACCAACTGTTCAGCTTCTTTGTTGTTTGCACAGAAAGTACCTATTGTTACATTTTAAACATCTTATGAGCTTATACTTTTGTCTGACCTTTTTTTTTTTTTCCATTGTAATATTTTTGTGGTCGGGGTCAAAAACTCAAAAGCTGAAAGAGGACTTGATCGTGTAGGACGTTTCAGTGAAGTATCCCATATTCTTTGCAGGTCCAGTGACATCCAAAGGCATTGATGAGGACCTCGCAGCTTATATTCCAGGTATGAATCACAGAAACTGAGTGATGCCGGGTTGGCATAATGTTGAAAAATCGCACTAATATTGAAATGAAAGTGTAAAGGCATCGCTGATTGAATTTCCCAGCCTGACTCCAGCATACCTAGCTCTAAGTTAGTAACATTACGGTCAATGTAAACCCCAATGTGCCATTGGTATCCGACTGACAAGAAAGACGAGCGCAAATCCTCAGCGCAAACTTTTCCAGGACAAGCGTTTTTTAACCCTTTACACCCTAAGATCAGTATCATACTGTATGCATGTTCTTCTTACTGTTCTCTATACATTTCCCAAGGTGCTAACAAAGAGAATTTGTTTAACAATCAAAAGCTTCTTTCGTTGGTGATCATTTCGTTTGTTCTCTTGATCTTAATGTGAGATTCAGGTGTGATATTTTAAGGAGAAACTAAATTCTAGTCACTCTTAGGATTTAGTGTTGAGGACATGTTTGTGCGCTTCGCTCCAACCAAATCACCGTCACCATTTCATTTTAGGCGGTGGTGGAGTGTCCTCCCTTTCCATGCACGCTACAGCCGGAAGTGACTTGGCTGACGACTTCGATAACCTTTCCCAAGATCCACTTCAACCTCCAATAACTTCAGAAAGAGGCTTCGCAAGTTCAAATGTTGACACCTTCCTTCCTCCGAGGTGAACAAACGTTGCTTTTATCGGGAGTGAACTCGTCATGGATATTACTTCACATTACTTAAAATGAATCTTTTTCTCCTATCCTACAGAAACCCATCTTACTTCAGTACACCCAACGCAAGCACCGACATTTACCCACCATTAGGTAACCTTTCTATCACAGGCGTTCGACTAGAGGACCACAGCACCTTGTTATCCTTCTCGCCTGGGAGACCGGTGGAAATGAATTCGGGGACAACTACGAGACCTGGGGACACTTATTCCCCTTTCTCAGCTGGGGTATCTCTGACGAAGACCTCTCCTCCTAAGGTAAGAACTGCTTGGTGAAGTCGCCAAGTGGTGCAGTGGTTTATTGGTATCCCTGTGGAACCAGAGAATGAGTTTTTCTCCCAGAGAAAACAACAAGAAGCTGGAGTTAATCTTAATCGAGTGTCGTAAATCGAAAACCAAAGCATTGAAATCAAAACGGCCTGTGAGAACTAAGAAAATATCGCGAAACGACAACGAGGGCGTAGAGTAAAAATTCAGCCAACTGGCTGAAGCGTGGGAAACGCGAGTGACTATTATGTGATTTTCTCGAGATCTGATAGGTTGAGGAGGTGGCGTGTTTTTTTTATACCAGTCACAAAGGAGCGTCGTTAAGTTAACCCATGGCAATCCCGAATATTTGTCGACATTCGGTTAAAAATTTCTCCAACCACTATTATTTTAAAGCTTGTGCACGTGTTTTGTAATTGACTTTAGTTTTGATTCTATTAGACCTGCAGTTTTCTGAGATTCCAAGTTTAGTTGACTTACAAATATTGGTGAAAAACGTTGATTTGCGGCTGAAAAATTCAGGCTGTGGCATAACTTCCGAATGACAATTACTGTAACATAACTTGAGGTCCCATAACTTAGCGCATAACCACTAACGTACCTCACTGTCCGATAGTAATACCACAATACAACTAACAGAAGTTCCAATAAGTTGCGTGACAGGACTGCTGTGACAAGTTGAGTGAACTTTTCTTTTCGATCTCCTTTTCTTTCGTTCTTACCCCAGGCGGAGGGGGACGCTTCACCGACCAGTAAACTACATCGTCTGCTGGCGGAGTCTCGACAAATGGTTCAAAACCTCGAACAATCCTCCACATTCTCTCTGACCGGAAGTCCAAATCAGGTTTGCATAAGCGTCACGCATTTCAATTCTTAGTGTCTCGCAAGACCTTAGGGCTTGGTAGCGTTGGAAAATAGCTTTCAAAAAAAGGAAAGACAGGAAAAAAAACAAGAAGAGCTTCTCATGCGTTTCCTAGATGCTAAATGCTAGACGTTGGGTGAAAACTTCTGGGTTCTGGACCTTCCACATCCTTCTTTTATTGATTATATGGCTAATTTTGATTAAAAGTTAAATTGGGACTCACGCCTTACTGAATTAACGTACTGCCATTGACACCTAACATCTACTACAGGATGCTACTCACAACCACACCTGCAACTATTTTAGTGCTCTTCTCTAACTAGGTATCCCTCGTCCGTGAGTAACTTTTCTTAACCCTTTAATTCCCAGAAGTGAATAACATATAACTTCTCCCCTAATATCATACTTTATCCACCGAACAGGTAATGAGAATGCTCAAAGTTATCAGGTAGAAGTTGTTATCTTGATCTAACACCAAATTCTTGTAACGAATTTACAAGGAAATGTGTTGCAGCTAGAGGGGAGAATTCGCAATCGTATTTGCAGTGGACCCTCTAAGCCCCTAGAATGTTTAGAGTGAAAGTTCGTCTCCCTTTTCTAATGAGTTATTAAGAGAAAAGATTGTTGGAATTGAAGACATTGATTATTAAGAACACTTGCTTCGAGTTAATGAGTAAGCTGTTACTACCGCAGGAAATACATGCATACCAATTACAGACTGTAACTTTATTATGCGCATGCGAAGCTAGTAGTATCCTTTGTCGTGGGGTAAAAACACGACAGTGGAAATCGAGCTTGAGAAGACTAAGGGGTGTGATTTCTAAAAGTAGTCAATCAAACGAGCCAGGTTATAAAGCAAAACTATCGCAAAAATATCTTTAACGTGATGGTTGCTTCAAAATATCAGGTTCTTTTGACAGGAAAGCAAGAACACGAGAAGGGAAATTTGTACAACGTAATTAGGATTGCTAAGAATGGAGAAGACTAACGCATATTTCAAAAGAAGACTTGAAAAATTTTTGATTAAATTTATCCGGACTCACTCTGTAATGTGACTTGAATGTAGCTGCTTAAGCCAAGTTTTCTTTTGGTTGCGTGGACTTGCGAGGAACTTCTCGGGCTGTCTCGATGGTCAGCTTCTCGTAGCAATAAGTTGCTATCATTGAGTGTCTTTAAGATATTACAAGTTGTTTCTGTGTTTGTTTAGGACTCCACGGTTCCCACAAGTGAGCAGTATACACCGCCGCAAAGACATATGGGAAGTCCACTACATTCGCGTCCAATACCAACTTCCACTGAATGAAAAGTAGGTAGTGGCTTTCGCGTGATCTGATCGCCCGTATTGCCAAGCGAGGTAGCCATTATGTTTCGAAAGTCTTAAATTCGTTTTACTAAGCTGCAGTAAATGAAACTTTGGAATAGCATGGAGCATGTCTTTACCTTTGGCATATGACACTGCAGTGTTATCTTTCAATTCGTTTCGGCCGCTTCGGTGAGGGAGCCACCTCGCTCTATGTTCTACTTTCTCGCTACTACAAAATTACCTCTTCACTACCAAAAACCTTTTTTCCAACGTTTAAGTGGATCGATAAAAGGAATCTTTCGTCGCTCTCCTCTAATCTCATATTGTCAAGGCGAACTTTCTTATCCGAGGGGTGCGTTTTATTTTGTATTTTGTCGTACCATACTTTTCTGTACTTTTTCTCGCAGGGTAAATTGTTCACAGTGCTTCTGTGCTTAAACTTGTTCACATCGGCATTATCCGTACACCTGATTCCTTACACATTCGGAATATCATCGGAAGACCCGAACACTTCCGTAAAGCCAGGCTTGACCGCTGGAATCAAGATGGTGGCGAACATCAATCCACGTGAAGCTAAATTTTGTTTCGATATAGATAGTATAGCTTGAGTTACAATTGTTTTAAACTGTACATAACGAATGCTGACTATTAACCTCACTTATTTTGTTTTTATTTTTGTTTAAAGAAAGAGAAAAAATTCATCCGTACAAATCGAGTTTAATTTACCCTTTTTCTGTAACAAAAATAGAATGCAAATATCGGATTTATGTCTGTATCTGAGCAACTGCGCAACTACCCCTCCCCTAACCAAATAACAGTCAGCTGATAGCAGTGGGAGGGGTGGGTAGGTGCGCAGTTGTTCAGATACTGATATCTTTGTTTAGTTTGTTTTTGATATTTTAATCGTGATCGAGTGATGTTGAGATGGGGGTGTATTTCATTTTGAATATCTCGCCTTTTTAGATTTAAACGAATGCGAACGAACTCATTCTGTTCTGCGAGACAGTTTGAAAAGTTGTTCTCCTGCGCTTTGAGTTCCAACTGTTACAGGTCAAGTGATAAGTCATTCCTACTTTGAAACAATATACATTGCAAATGTTTAATACTGGTATTGTAAGTTTGATATTGTGCGAAACAATTAGCACTCGTGTTCATCTTGCGCAGCATGTCACAGCTTTTTGCAGCAGAAGTGGTTATACTCGCAGAAAACGCTCTTTAGCTTCGGAGTCATCCAGAGTATTTTTTTATTATTATTATTATTATTATTTTTTTTTTTTTTTTTTTTTTTTGCGATGAGTCTGAAGGTAAATTTTTTTTGGCGTTTTTAATACGTAAGTTTCATATCAATGAAGTAAAGTAATGTGCCGGAGACTAGACACGTAAGCGGGGTAACCATCTGGAAAATGAGAGGATGAACGAAACAACTTCCGTCCACTTTCCACTGAAGCCTCTCGCTTCTTACCCCCTCACGTGTGTCAACTGGGAGTTCACGTGTGTCAACTGGGAGTTCACGTGTGTCAACTGGGAGTTCACGCGTGTCATCACGCTAGGTACTAACCAGGCAATCATGTTGGAGAAAAAATAATCAAGGACATGTACCCAAACATTTTAGCCTAAATTTTTAACCTAAATTTTTAACCATTAAAGTACAACGAAATACTTAGCTTTGATACAAGTACCCATGTCATCAATTATTCAAACTAGTGGTAAACTTTACATGATCGCGTTGTTTTATTATATTCTTAGGTTTGTAAAGAAAGAATGATTTTAGATAGATCTTCGTATTTAATAATTACTATTTAAATGATGTGAATCTAGAGTCTTGTGTATGAACTATTGATTTATTTAATTTAGAAATTGAGTGGGTCAGGGAGGGGGGGGTGTGTGTGTTGACAAGAAGGAAAGTAAACTGTGCGAATCAAAACTCATGATGGCTGGAATTTTTTTTCTTTCCTGTAAGTGTTGCCTCTTATAAAACAGCAGCTGGAATTTTTTTTCTTTCCTGTAAGTGTTGCCTCTTATAAAACAGCAGAATTTATTTTAGGCTTGATTACCAGCCGCTGTTCAGGAACCAGAGCCCGCGCTCCTTCCTGAAGAGCCTCTTCTCGGGGAGGAACGAAAAAGACCGGACTCGAGAGAGCGACGGAAATCGAGCCCATATTTATTTGGAAATAAGGTTTTCATGTGAAAAGTGTTAAAGAAGGTTTGCAAACATGGTTGTACATCAGTTGTTACGAAATAAATTCAAATTTTCACTTCGACAAAAGAATGAACTCTCCCCCACCCCAACCGGTTATCGCAGCGGGAGGGGAGGAGGATCTTAGGAAAATTTGGTTTAGTAATGTTGCAGGGTTCTCCAAATCCTAATCTTATTTGAGACCAAAACATACCAATTGACATGCTTGTTTCTAGACCTCGACCCAAACATGATCTTGTAAACACACCTGTCAAGCCTAGTGGAGTAAGTGTTGAAGTGAAGAACTAGTCCAATTTACCCCAGCTCTAAATATATATATATATATATTTTGGTTTCTTCTCTCTCGCCATCGTCTTTTTTTATTATTGCTATTTATTTGTAACATGTTACGTATTTAGTTCATGACAAATGTGGAGCTACCCTGTAGAAAAGTCGTCATTAAACCATTGTTGTTGTTATTATTATTATTTTTGTTATCGGTGGTCAAGAATTGGAATCCTGTTGAGGGCACCACACAAGGGGATCCACTGGCAATGATTCTGTACGCCATCAGTCTCCAGCGACTCATCACACAGCTACAAGTTTCTAGCGCAACTAAGCAATGCTGGTTCGCCGACGATGCTGCTGGAAGTGGTTCACTTCTTGAGGTTAGAAAGTGGTGGAATGTGCTCTGAAAGTGGGCCTCGACTAGGCTACTTTCCGAATGCCAAAAAGTGCTGGCTAATCACCAAGCCGGAGAAAGAAAGTGCTGCACACTGAAATCAACGTGACATCTGAAGGACACATGCACCTTGGTGCAGCTTTAGGATCTAGAGCCTTCTTAGAAGAATACGTCGGAGACAGAGTAGAAGACTGGGTTAACCAAGTTACTAAGCTTTCGGAATTCGCCGTTTCCCAACCTCTGGCATGCTATGCTGCATTCACTGTAGGACTACGTCATCGTTGGACCTACTTCTTAAGAACACTACCTGATATTAGTGATCTACATGAGCCACTTGAGAATGCTATAGCAAATTTTTTAACTCCTGCCATTACAGATCATCAAATTAAAGAAGAAGAGCGCAACCTACTTGCTCTCCCAGTGCGTTTGGGCGGACTTGGGATCGCAAACCCTGTAGAATTGGCATCTCAAGAGTATGAAGTCTCGGTAACTGGACCACTCATTGACTCAGCGTATCATACATTAAGATCACCGCAATCCAGATGAAGCAGATAACAATGCTGCAAAGTCCCAGGCAATAGCTAAGAAACGTGAGGCCCCTGAAAGAATCTGAAGTGAGGATAAAGAACATGTTAACACCGAACTCGCTCAAAGTGAAAGAACAAGCACTATTCAGAAAGAGGTGCCTCCAGTTGACTCACTGTCATCCCGTTAAAAGAACTAGGATACGATCTCAATAAAGGAGAATTTAGAGATGCCCTTAAGCTGAGATATAATTGGGAATTCTCTGACATCCCAAACCGGTGCGTCTGTGGTGACATCTTTGATGTGGACCATGCGATGACCTGCAGAAATGGCGGATTTGTGATACAACGCCACAATGAGATCAGAGACCTGGAGGCGGCACTGCTTAGCACCGTATGTAAAGATGTGGAAATCGAGCCTCCCCTGCAGCAGATTACGGGAGAAATTTTGAATAATGGGGCCAATACTTCCCAAGATGCTCGTCTTGATATTCTAGCCAGAGGTTTTTGGGAGCGACAGAAGTCTGCATACTTTGATGTCCGGGTATTCCACCCTTATGCTGACTCCTATCGTGAGAAGACATCTGAGCAAGTCTTTAAACAGCACGAAAATGAGAAGAAACGAAAGTATGCCAGTAGAGTATTGGAAATAGAGCAAGGATCCTTTACGCCCCTGATCTTTAGTACCACCGGAGGGATGGG